TCTACCCCGTCTTCCCTCCCCCCTTCCTTCCTCCCATTGAAAGAAACTCTTCCTGCTTCTATTTCTATGTCTTTTTACCGTCAAAATTTATTCTCTCCAAGGACACTCTATTTCTCTTTGTTCCTCATTTTTCACATCTTCCTTGGTTTTGTATGTTAATTAATCTCTCTAGCGTTGGGTACGTACCATCCCAAATGTGCAGTTTTTATAAATTCAGTGTTAGTTTTATGATATCCAAGGTGTCTTCCCAAGGTGGGGGCAGGGGATTCGAGAACAAAATAAACCAACCCTTTCCTCCCAAACCATCATTTAATTTAGATAAATAAAAGTGTGCAAAAAGCACAGGGTGTCTGACAGTAACTGGCCACCCGCTCTGGCCGCTTCCGTCACCTCCACACACAGTTACGGGGAAAGTTGTTCTCATTTTCAGACTGTAAGGATGGGCCTATGACCCGGCTCTGCACTGTGGTCCTTCATGGTTCAAAAGCACAGTCCTGTCGAACCGGCTGTTCCTCCAGCGAGTTTCTTTTCCTGTAGTGAGAGGAGTTCTGGGCTTCGAAGCCTACACAGCTTGGAACAGGTAAATTACAGACACTCAGCCGAGTCATTAAATGCAGCTCGACCGAGCTTTACAAAATATAATTTCATGCCCTGTGGCGACCTCGATCCTTGGAATCAGTGAGCCCTTCTGGATCCCAGGGCCTCATCTGAGCAGGTTGTCTGCCCGCTGGCGTCCTTTTAAGGTCCCTTGAGCGCATGTTCGTGGCCTACATTAAATTCCACTAGAGTCATGTTCCTTAACCTCCGTCTCCCTTTTCAATCCCTTCTTTCCAGACTAAGCGATTTCCTCCCACTGTTTTCTTCCTGTTTGCCCCTTGTAGTTTGTTCTCTGTGGTTCCTCATAGCTTGTTCTAGTTATTTTCTCTCCTAAACTGATTAAAAGTTTCCTTTCTCCTTCTCCCCTTTGACTTCCTGTTTTCTATTACCCATCAGTGGTTCATCTCAGAATTGGCACTGCTGGAGTTGCCTATGTGTCACTATGTGCATAAAATGACTGAGTCTGCAGCTAGAGAGGCCTATGATGGCTGCTGGAATGGAGAATGCAGTCAGATCTAGGACCAAAGGCAGGCTTTCTATTCCTTTCTCTCCACATTAGACCTACAGACATACCAGTCACAGGATGGAGAAGCTTTGAGCCTCCGTGCTGATCCCTGCATGGAGGAGGAAAAGTGGTGGCCGCAGGCAGGTGGAGTCTCTAAGGGGGCCCGGCAAAGGCTGAGCTATGCATTATGGGAGTTTCTCCAACATCACCAACCAGACAAATCTTTCTGGAGAACAGAAGGGAGTAGAGAGAGGATGGAGAACGTTTTAGTGTTCCCTTCCACGGGATAAAGAGGGATGCCCTTCTCGCTACGTAAATGTGAGGTGTGGAGCAATATTAGCCACGTAACGTTTGGTTGTTGGACAGGGACTAGAAAGGGGCCATGTAGAAGGTGATTGTGATGGCATGTCACAATTCCCAAGAGGCTGGGAATCTTTGGTGCCTTCCCCCAGTGTTTTCACAGTTCAGACGAGAGTAGAAATTGAGGTCATCCTGACA